ATAACAGAACTCATTTGCAAGTCTCTCCCAGTTACTTCGAATATAGGAACGGCTTTTTATACAGAGGAATCATTGTAAGTAAATAACAATATCAATTTTACCAGGGTGATTGTTCCGCGAGCGAGAAATTTCTGGTTCAAGTTGAACCTCCTTGTTTATTTATTTATAATTACCCACTTAATTATTTTTCTCTCTAAATACTCAGTTTATTTATTTACTTATCTAAGCTTTATCTATCTAATTACTTCATTCATCTATTGCATTTCAGAATTCCTGTGAGAGCAATCCGTGTGTTAGTCACTCTACATGTCAAGCAGGGTTTGGTAGTCATGGTTACCGCTGTATTTGTTCCGATGGATATGAAGGAGGGCTTTGCCAAATAGGTGAGAAAGGAAACTCCTCGCCATATTAGGTCTTCATCTCCCAGGTTCATAGTTGAAGTTACACAATAAAGCTGCAAATAAAGTAGCCTCTCATCAAGGAGAGTTTTGAATCATCATCTGTCTAATCAATACAGCCTTAATATCTGCATCAAAGGATATGTCCGTCACAGGGTAAGGGGCAAGTTAGGTTTCTTCAGTACGTGCTCTCTCAAATGCTAGAGCATTAACCGAGGGGTGATATCAAAGCATTGCTGTCGTGAAAATCCTAGATAATGGAGCTTACAGAAAAACTAGAAAGTAAGAGAATATCGGAATAAGAAAGGGTGATATGAAGGGAAAACTTCCTTCATGTTGTCAACTGTTGAATATTTGATGCAAGGGCGAGAACACAAATGAAACGAATAAAAGTATAAGTTTAATTTTGTGCTGAAAGCAAATACTTGAAATTTTGGAATAACTGACAGAAATAATAGATTAATACGATGGAGATGCACTTTAGATGAAAAAGATCTATTTCACTATAAGGAATATTACGGGTTTTTTTGTACATCGAGCAAACACGATTGTTCCTCTGACGGCAACTGTGTTAATGCCGTGGGTTCATATTAGTGCTCTTGCAAACCTGGATTTACTGGTGATGGTAAAATTTATTTTGTATAAAAATGCAAAGCTTTTGATTAACCTCTTCACCAGTCTTGCAAGACAGAAATAACTGATGTGATTCGTAGGGTCAGTTGAAATTACTGCTAAAACAGGTCAGTCTTTACATGTTAATGTAACGGAGAAAGCTGCCTCCACATCATAGTTAGCAAAATTGCTTTTTTAAGCATATCTAAAATATACAGAACGATGCCGAACTTCTGGCAAACCTGTGAATTCACCACCTCAGCACGTTACACTTTTCAGTAGATTCTGGGAAACGCCAAAAAAAACAACTCCACCTCTTCTGATAATTTTCCTACACCTTGATTAGTCTTATATTCAATTACTACTTAGATATCGATGAGTGTAGCGATGGAAGCCATGACTGTCACTTTGCAGCCGATTGTACAAACACCGCTGGATCATTCGACTGCAGCTGTCAGTCTGGACACCTTGGAGATGGACGGCACTTTTGCTCAGGTATATCTTGATCTTTAACCCAAAACACAAACAAATGTGAGTGAATAGTGCGGTTTGAACATAACCACAGTTATTCTTTAATTACTTTCCTCAAACAAATCAATTTATTTTGGGTTGCCATTTCTAAGACACGAAAACCTGAGGCTTTCTTTGAAACCTGACAAACTATTTAACAGATAACTGGAAAAAGGTCAACCTCGATCCTGTCTGTTTTGGGACAAAAGATGACGACCACGGATCTTTTCATATCCAAGAAGCCGGTCAAATCTACACATTTAAACTTGTCCATACAAGTGGCTCCGTTACATGCGACACTAATCGCTCACCGACGAAATGGGGATGCTTACGGCCAGAATACGGAAATTATAACCTGATGACAGTGATAACATACAGCAACAAAACTGTTCTTCCACTTGCTGAATTCGTGAAAAGTAACGCCGAAAACAAACTGTATACTTACCAACTTGATGGTGCTGATGTCAACTCTCCCACGCTTGTGTTTAATTTTCTCCCCATGCCCTTGGTTGTATCTGTTGGCCAACAGTTCCAAATTTGGTATGCGCATGACTTGGTTGGTTCTACCGAGCATAATAACGATGGTGAGACATGTGCGGACGTTTATGCTTTGTACCTTTTAAACTGAAATTCAGCATTGAACTAAACCTGAGATTTGGAAGGTCGAAAGTTTATTTATGGAGATCAAAGTTTTAATTTGATTTAACAAGATCAAGTTAGAGTCAAATTGAGAGAAGAAAAAGTACGCCTGAAAGATTATTAAAATGTCATGGGGGAGAGGGTGAAAATAGGCGTGTGTTGCTGTTTTGAAGGCTAGAGCGTAATCTTCGAAGATCATTTGGCCAGCATGCCTACTCATGCCTACCGAAAGTGAATATAAAGCGCGTACTATTAAGTTAGAAGTCAGCCCACCAGATTAACTCAAAGTAAATTAGAGTCGATCAGAGAGAGAATCAGAGTTTATCAGTCAGTCTGAGTTATAACGAGTTAAGTCAAGAGGGATGCATTTTCTGTAAGTATAATTGTATAAGAGAACATATATCAAAGAAGATTGAAAAGGACGGATCGAGGATCCTTGGTGCCTTTCGCCGAGCGAAGTTCCATCTGCAGTATTTCAGAAACCTTTTCTACAGCGGTTGCTATAATTATTATTTAGAAAGTTGAGACCTGAACAATACCAGATATAACGTTCTCATACCAATGTAGTTAGATTTTAGCATTAGCTTGGAAGAGAAGTGTCAAATACATTTAATCAGTGTGGTTTCAAGTAAAAGAAGGGGCCGAGAAAAATTCATTTAACATTTTAAAAATTAAGAGACCTTCTTAAATTTATCATCATGTGATAAATTTATAATATAATGTGATATGTAACCAAGTTCCAATTAATTTCAGTCACTGCTGTTATTTGGGAATGATAATAGAAGACGGATTGAATAAATTCCACATGTTTGTCGGTCTCTTTCGAGCTCGCATTTTGTTCAGTTCTAGTAATTCTGAGTAATTTTCATTTTGAATGGTATACGCGCTATTTGAATGGTAGAATTGCCAAAAGTGAATTTAAAAAAATCGAATATTTGGAAGTACTTTACCATTTTTTAATCCATAGATTCGAGATGGCCAATTAAAAAAAAATAGTTGTGTATTGGAGACGAGCTGTTCACATGGCTATGGCTTCCCTTTTAGCCCCTTATGATTCTTATTCAATTAGACAAACAGTAACGATAGAGGGAGACACAGACAGAGACGTTCAGCCTGGTTTTTTTAAAGGGATGATAACACTATCTACTAGATGAATTGCTATCCGACGTGTAGCGCAGTAGGTTTCGTTATCACTTAACGATTTATCCGTTGTATAGCAATGCCCTTTATCTGTCCTTTAAAAAACTGG